AACTCAATATCGGTAATGGGAATTCAGACTTCATGCATTCGCTGATGAGGTGGATGGAAACCACAATTATTGTAAGGATCCTGCAGGTCATTCAGGGGGTCTTTGGTGCTATTATGAAAGCCCCGAAGGCGATGCAAACGAAGGATGGGGCTTCTGCGACATTCCCTTTTGTCCTCTTCAGGGGAGAGAGGAGCAAGTCAGTCGATTGTTTTTCAATAAAGTTTCATAATGAAGATTTCTTATTTTCAGCGATCCAGTGGTGATAGAGTGGCTTTTCACGAATGATCACGACACGCGACCAAATATGCATCGTGAGTTGCTCTCTCAGGATTAACACGGTCTATGATATTTAGGGCCTCGTGGTGCTCACATTTCTCTATGATGGTAACTATGTGTACAAGTCACTGTTCCATTTCAAACTGCAATAGTTTTCAAACGGCAACAACCAGGTCACTGTTGTTAACATCAATGGTTAAAGTTGTGAAAATCATGACTTGGAATCAGACTCAGGCAGAAATTACTCCAATAAGCGCATTGGAAAGATGTAATTCTTCAGGGCAATGTATGGTACACATTGTTGAATACTCTTCTACGAAATTCCTAAACGTCAGGTTTGTCTCTCCTATTGTTAGACAGACTTGAGAAACAGAAAGAAATTTGTTCAGTTTGTTTTCATTGCCATGAGAAAAGGCTTCACGTTAGATGCCTGAGCAACGAAGGAAAGTTGCCTCCTAGATGGAGATCTTACAAAATACAGACCAAAATACAGACCAAAATACAGACCAAAATACAGACCAAATTACAGGATCAGTGTTCAAATGGAGTTTCGGCAATATTTTCGTGTTGTGCCTCTTGCCAAATGTATTTATGCAGGCGAAGGACTTTTGAAACACTTTCAAAACCCTGAAATACCTCAATTTGAAAAGATAATTCCTAATGGCATGCAATTGTTCGAGTTAATACCACTTTTTTTCTGGCAATTGTTTAGTGAACGTCAATTTTTGAAATCCTATACGGACTTACGTGATACCGGTGTAATTTGGAACGGACAAGGGACATAATCGCCATGAAACAGTGGCTCTGTGGGGTCTGCTGATGACTTCGGGGTTAAAGCGTGTGGCAATCTAGTATTGACGATCACCAACGAGGTAAGAAACCCACAGAGGGAACCAGAGGGGGAAATGGGTCACAAGACACAAGAGACACGATGGAGAGTTAGAGCAATTTTAAAACTAGTAATCACTCCGTAAAGGTGATGGATGGAAAATATTAACACTTTTTTCCCCAAACTTTCGCAACTATAGACTGCATGGAAGTTGTTATGATCTGGTGTTTCCGCCCGCAGCAGTGGGAATTTCATATTTCGCCTTCACACACTAAGAATAGCACGTAACCGCACGATGGAAAAGTTCTGTATTTCTCTACCATCGCAATCTCACGAACCGTATTCTCGTCCCATCGCCGTTTGCTCGGAGCCTCGTGCCATTTAGAAGAACGCACGAGGCTCTGTCCTTATTTTTAACAGGTTTGAAAAACCGAACTAGACGGATTCTGAGTCAAATTTTGGACAAACGATGGCACAAACCACGACACGAATGGGCGCAAAGATAACAGAGGCGTAATGTTAGCATAATCGCAGGCCAATCCAGTCTCTCGTAGCCCTTTTAAGAGAGAACGTGGAACGTTAGACCGATTAGAGGTATGTCTCGAGTTTCGCGAACCATTTCAGCGGAGAATAGGAACGTTAAGCCTGTCTAGAGTTCCTCGAACCGTCTGGACTGGTTCTGAGGAGAGAATGCCTCTGGGAAACATGAAATACAAGCTTAGCGCCATTCTGTTCGTTTAGGGATGTCCGAATGAGATATCTCCACGTCCCAACGAATCGATCGGCCGCTGCTGATCGTCCTTTCATTCTCGGCTCATCTCGTGAACTCGGCACAAAATTGTCTCATACATTAAAAAACAGACGATCCAAACACCGACATTAAGGCCGAATTCGCTTCAGCAGTGGGCCTCCGAAACGGAGGTGGCCGGACCAAACGGTCCCGAGGGGAGTCGCTTCGCCTCCGCCTCGAGGAGTCTTCCTCCCGATCTCGAAAATTAGGACATGAAAGCGTAATCGCGCACTGAGAATAGTCTCACGAGGGAAGAAGTTCTACATACTACCATTACCAGCTCGTGAACCCTATGCTCGTCCCACCGACGTTTCCACGGAGCCTCATACCATTCGGAACAAGTGTGGAGTCTTCGAGCCCCGCAAGGGATGACATAACAATTACAGAGGGGAGAACCTCCTCCCTCCTACGCTCACGTAAGAGAGAGAAGCCCACTTCCCCAGGGCTTTCCCTCGCCAGTGAGTCGCCAACAAACATTGCAAGTGGACGGACGGCCGGTATACGTGACGTCGTGTGCGAGCCGGCACGCAACTGCCGGACCGAACCGTGCGTGCTATCGAGGACCAATTGGTGACAGTGGTTCTCCACCGGACGACTACGAGGAAGAGGACGACACCAAGATCCCCCATCAGCGTTAGGCTGTTCATTATCACTAACCTCATCCACTTATCCTTGTTCCGTTACTGTATAATAAATTGTGCGCAGTGTCTAACTACGCACCTTTTATATCAACCCGGTGTCCTGAGTAATTATGATAGGAGTCAACACCTTGGAGTCAGTTCGATAACAGACAGACCCTTCTGCGGATTACACAGATCTCTCTGACGAACCTCTCCGAACATCGCAGCCTTCCTGATAACTTTCCCGATTACCTTCCGACAATCCTCGCACCCCGGATTCGGACCTACCTGTGGCCACACCAACCCCCATTGGCGACCCCAACTTTCGACCAAGCTACAGAAGGTATGGGGCTCCGTGTTTATTATTTCAACAGGGATAACTTGGAGAATTAAATAAAAAACACGGATTGAAATCTCAATCGCAGATGAGAATCATAAGACAAATTTCACTTTCACTAGTTGCCGCACCACGAAAATGGGCAAGGAATACATGTGCACGGCCAGGACGAGCGAAACGGGAAAACCATGCATGAAATGGACTGATTTCTTCCAACTCTTCGAACGAAGATACGACGGGCAAATATACGCCGTTCACAGATGTTGAGCACATTTGCGCGCTCCTGTCCCATTATCGACGAATTACTGTCGAAATCCGTCTTGGAAGCAGAGGCCACGGTGTTTTGTCTCAAGGTATCCAATCAAATGGGAATACTGAGACATACTCTCCTGCCAAGACCTGAGTGGGTTACTGTCCCATTATCGACGAATTACTGTCGAAATCCGTCTTGGAAGCAGAGGCCACGGTGTTTTGTCTCAAGGTATCCAATCAAATGGGAATACTGAGACATACTCTCCTGCCAAGACCCGAGTGGGTTTCTCGGATGAAGAACTCTTTCATCTTGTGCTAAAAACCGGACCACGATAACGTACGTACGTAAAGGAAGCACCACTACACCAGCAACACTGCTGATCAAAGAATTTTTTCGCATGCCTCTCCCATGAGCGACGTGAAAGAATGCGAAGGAATGCCCATATCCTCCCTGTTACCCGACGGCGTGACGTGGTTACGACTCGAAAGGACTAAGAGTCTCGCAGGCTGCCTTTTTTAATTCCCGAACCGAGCCGATGTGACAAATATCACCGTCAGACCATAGGCGCCGACTTCGAAAAAATATCGAGGAGGCAAGTTCCTAACGCCCCTGAAATAACATTCACGGAATCATTCCAGGATCCATTGGGGTAGCTCAGTATTATTATGGTAGCAGAGCGTGGGGCGGGCTGACCATGGCCCTTCCACTCCATACCCTTACGGGGTGACACAGGGATCTTCCCCAGTTGGAGCTCTAAACGAAAGGAAAATCATTTTTTTCATTTCTTTCATGAAGCAGCATAAACAAAAGTTAAAAGGTACACGGTATGAAAACAAATTTAAACCGATAAGAACGCCCCCGCAACGGGGGAGTTATTATACCAACCCCCCCGTGCACGGGGAAACGGGGGGACCCAAGCCGCGGATACCGTCAGACAGGCCGACGAAGATGTCGTTAGAGCATGATCATGAGTTACACCTGAGATTTTGCAACTGACTTTTCACACTCCCTTCGGTTTCCTCCTTTTTCTCTCTTCTTCGAAACAGATGGGAATTGTGACTCGCTGTCTGTCCTTAGGATACTTAGGATGACAGGTAGATAACCACAATCCTGGAATTATTTATCTTATTAGTAATGTAAGTTTTATGAGTTTTATTTCATTAGCGTTACAAACACCTGCTTCTCTCTCAAGGCCACTGAAGCAGTCAGGAGAGATTGTGGACTGCAACCAAAAAAATATTGTAATAATGTTATGCTATTTTCACCCTTAATTTATGAGATAATTTTCTCAGGCAATGGCTCCACTGCGATTTTATCCAGACAATAGTAATCATCGCCGCGGAATATTTGTCCAATTTAGACCGATACTGTCGCAACAAGTATTAAAATTGGAAGTTGCTTCGCATATCAGGTGAGACAATGGAAGGTTTTATGCAAAATGAACACACGTGGGGAAAAATTCGCGAGTAAATGAGCTTAACCACAATTTTAAACTGAACATGAAGACAAAGGCACCCAGATCACGCACCGCTTCACGCAGCCACATTTTATCCACTTGAGGTTGTCAGAAGGCAGAAGAGCGAGGCACCCAAGGTGTTCCACTCCCCGAAGGTAGTCAAGAACGCACCGAAGACATGGAAGGGGGGGGGGGGGGTTTCATGATTGGCTAGAAATTCTGCTATCACACCGAATGGTGCAGCCATAGAAAAGTTAGTTCCCATAGAAAAATCAATTCTTTTTTTCTAAATTCGTGATGGGCTTCAAAATCCACGCTGTATTCAGTGCAGTACTTCAACCAGCGATCCATTCTATTCGTCTTTCTCACCCATAGATGAAACTGAGTCTGATGCAGACTCAGGCCACTCTCCTTTGAATTCTGTTTCTGATGATCTATCCTAGGCGACAGTCACTCCAGAGTAAAACACGTTCAATTCTTCATCATTATTAATGGCCGCATACGACTCCGTGGAAACGATAGTTTCCCTGTCATTTCGACGTGCTTCATTGCCTGCCGATTCCGTTACTTCACATATTCCATGGCGGCCGTCAAGTAGACAGACATCAGCTTCCACACGCTTGGCATAGTTCCCCTGCTGGAGTAGACCTTCTGGAGTAGACGATAGATATGTCCCACAGGGAACTGAATTATTACTTGGCTGAATACTTATCATCAATAGGTGATGATGTATCACCACTGGTTGATGATGCATCGTCAGCAACTGCTGATGTCACAACAGCTGCACTATAACATCACTAAAACAGGTGGTGATGATAATGAATTGATTCTGACTGGAAAGGCCGTTGTCATCAAAGCATTGGTGGTGGATGCACTGGCAGTGGATGGTGCTGGGTTGGTCAGAACTGAAGCTTGTCCCGGGGCAATAGCTGTAGTTTGGAGGAAGCCTGCTGAGTTTTCACCTGGAGATGCATGTGACTCTCCTGATTCTACAGCTGCCTGGGCATTAGTTGCAACTCCACTGGTTCCAATTTTGGGTTCCGTTATTGCAGGAAAGGCTGATCCAGGAGCAGCTTCTTTCAGAGAAAGTGCAGTGGACACAGGAGTGAAGATTGACGGACAGGTAGCAGCAGAAGTGACAGTGGATTGAACACTGACTGGAGACGTGGTAGATGGACCGGCAACAGATTCGTCAGTTATAGTATCAGCACCAGTACCTGCGGTAAACAAGAGCAAATCCTTGACACGAAGGAGAATAGTACCTTTTAAAAGCACCACCTGGCAATAGCAAGCAGACAATAGTTGTTGCTTAGAGCAACCTGTGTGGCTTGAACTTGTCCAAGGCTTACTTAGGGTTCTCAAATCACAAGTCACATCATTATGATATAGTCTGAAATTGAAGCTAGCTACAAGCGTTCAAGACCTGGGCTTATGGCACCCAATAATTCAAGTAGACAGTGCCATCAAGTACTGCCAATACAGAATAGAAACGAAGCTATTGGTTTTTCTGCAAAGTCTTAGCACACAAAGACCCCTGGAATGACCCCAATTTTCTCGTTTCCAGAGAATTTTCATAAGGTCTCTTCAATAGACAAATATATCACAAAACAAGACTAGATGCATCTACTTCTTTTGTGCATTACTGGATTTCTTGCAAAACGAGATGGGGCCTTCCTTTAGATGAAACTTTATATATTCTTGTTTCTTGGGGGTTCTTTGGGAGCCCAAATATTGCCCATCTTCATAAGATTTTAACGGAAAGTTAATAGGAGGGCGAAAGTACTCTGATATAGTAAGGTAAACCTACACAGAAGTGAAGGTAAAAGGACATCGTATAAAATCAAGTAAAGAGCGAAGTGAAGGAAAAAAAAAAAACTTCCACATGACTTATGTTTTCCCAAGCTCTTTAAAAAAAATTTTCTAATAACTATTTTCTATAAGAAATAAAGACGGATGAAAATGGATGAAAGAAAATACCAGTATGCTCCATGGTATAAAATCATGAATTACTTTAAGTACTGTATTATACTTTAGGAATTAAGTGCCCTCAAGTATTAATCAACTTTTGAAAACAGTTCACATATGTTAGGTGAGATCCTCATCACATTTTGGACAAACATCAAATGATCACAAGCATGATATTCTTCATAAGATGAATAACCTATCACTTCCAAAAGCATAGGATGACAGTAGTATATACTTCTTCCTCCATTCATGGGAAGGCAGCAACCACTCAAGTTCTGTATATGAGATTCCCTGAAATGGTGGTTGTTTTCAAAAGATATTCAGTGCAGCTTGGATAAATATAAAATGACAATATTTGTACCTTTTCACTGCTGACAAAAGTATTTTCACTCCCTCAACAATACTATGTGATGCCACTCTTGGTGGACACTTTCAGTTCTCCACTTAGTTGTACAGTCTCCTGCATCTGAAGAAGGGACTAGGTTTTAATAATAAAAAAATAAAAGTTTTTCTCATCCTGACACATTTCTTTCACCTTGTCTTTTTACTTTAGACATGTCCTAGATCTTTTTTCTTCTCTTCTTTTTGAATCTGGTAAGTGTCTTTTCATGCCATTTCATAATGTTATCTTTAAATTCTGGTACTAAAAAATGCAAAGTTTCCCATTAATAAAAGCCCAAAAATCTCAAGTTGCCTGATATTTAAATTGCTAAAAAAAAATGTCAGCAAAGAAATTGTGGTTATCATCAAATATTGGAGCAAAAGACATTTGGTAATTATCACAGCAATACAACCAACCAGCATCTGGATGAGAGTGCAGCATGTGTGCCTTTAACTTCTCCAACTGAGCAAACTCTTCTCCTTCATCTTCTTGACTTTCTCCATGGAATTCCAATGACTCTCTCGGTTGGAGTGACCTCTGGCTCGCATTCCCTTTCAATTTAGGTTTTTCTACCATTTTGAGCTTTCGATGAGAGCAAAGGGTAGAGGCGCTTGATTTCAGTAAGGTAGACGCTTCTCCATCTTCATTGCCACACCCCTGTTGTTGCAATTGATTTCTACAGGAAGGCTTCCTGCATCTAGATTCCTGCTCATCTCTCGGATTCCACCGACAGTTGGCATGTTTCCAGTCGGCCATCTTTCTGTCATGGTCAGTAAGCATATTCATGGCATCTGATGGTGTGAATTGTGGAACAGGATCCACCATCTTCCCAGAATGATGACATGTGGCAACTCCATGATCATAATTTGAAGCAATCCTGGAGTCCATGGCATTATGGGATCTCTTGCCATGCATGCAACACCCTCTACCATGATCAGTTCCATATTGACTACCATCTGCAAAATCTTGAAAAGGATCCTCTTCCTCTGGGGAGAAATGCTGATGACATGACTCACCACAGGAACTTCTACTTTTGTGCTGCACAGGTAGTGAATTTTGGCAGGCACATCCCCAGCAGTGTGGAACATTGGTACAATGACAATTTTGAGTCAGAATTTTGCAAAAATTCTCAAGATCACGAAATAATACTTCTATGAAGCAATGCACATAAGGGAGATTGGCCATGGAACAATTCTGAGAAATTCTGAAACGAGATGCTGAGCAGCCTGAATGCCCATTTCTCCACCTATTATATATTTCACAGCAGAGATGTCCATGTAAGCAGTCTTCTGTTGGAGCACTCCAATTTACCTCCATTTGGCAGCTCTTGGCAACTCAGGACACCAGATGTTACCTGTGTGTACATTGGCAAAGCTATCTCTGAATACAATGTCCAATTATCTTGTGCCTTGGAAATAAGCAAATGGAAGAAGACAATAAAGCAAACACCTTTAAGGAAAGCAATAAGAGCACTTCTAAGCTAATGTCATGTCTATAGGAAGTGCCTAGGTGACTGTTACTTCTTAGCATCTGAAAGTCAGTCATTAGCTTCATCCTCATGGCAAACTTTCATGCATAGAAGAAATGAGCTTTGCTTGGAATGAAGGAGCATTGCATGATTCATATGGAAGGCAAAATCTTTAAGCAAAAAATGAATTAAGGATATTCCCCATCATAATAAACCGAAATCCCCTCCTTTCTGATGACCTCCCAAAGCAGAAAGAAGGGCCGGCACCTTGTTTTTGGATAAGGGTACTCTCTCTTCCACTCCATTGCTATCACAGAAAGTGACAGAAGTGTAGTGAAGAGAAATAACTGCTCATTTAAAAAAAAGGTATGATGTACTGAGGCTACAGGGGTGAAAGCAGGGATGAATGAAGAGAGTAATGTGAACTTAGTTATTTCACTATATAGCATCTACTTTAAGATGAGAATATTCCATAAGAGACATGAAAGGCATGACACTGCAAATATCTTGTACTTGAAAGAAAGCTTCCTTTATGTAATTTTAATATAATCAAATCAACTGTGGCACAAAAGAAAGAGTTCTACCCTATTTTGGATAGAATGTAAGCTGTTTTGCCCAAAGTATGCTAAAAACTGAGAATGAGCAAGGGCAGCTCCCATTCCCCTGACATGGGACAATGGCAGAGAGTGACATACAGCACTTGTGGAGACATTAGTATTACCCAGCAACAAAAGAACTAGCAATAACCATCAAACTGAAGATGCAAATGATGAATGACCCTTATACCCAGTTCTAAAAGAATGAACCGACAAAAAGGGTAATACAGGGGTAGTTCGGTGTTAGTTTGTCGTAATTTATTTATGTACTTAACTAGAATAAGTACTTAGGTAACATTATAATGTAACTCATTGCAGAAGAATTTTTACTTTAATCACAATGAATCTTTTTTTACTTTTCAACTTCATCCTCAAATAGAAACTACTATGAATATTGGTGAATGTCTCCTTCAACCTACTGACTCAAGTGATGTCAAATAAGCAGATATAGGTATATTAGCCTTGACCAGGTGAAAATTTTTACTTTTCAACTTCATCCTCAAACAGAAACTACTATGAATATTGGTGAATGTCTCCTTCAACCTACTGACTCAAGTGATGTCAAATAAGCAGATATAGGTATATTAGCCTTGACCAGGTGAAATTGAAACATCCAGGAAGCACTAGACACTAGACACTGAGACTCAATTCAATAAAGCAGATCAGAGCAATGGGAAATATTACATGGGCAGGGGAGTCTTGCAGGTGAACTGAATCATGTCATATTTAGTCATTATTGAATCCCATCTTTATTCAAACATAATGCAAACATAAACATAAGTTTTGCAAAAAAAAATACAGTATATCACAAATCAAGCAACAGAGAACAGCGGCACCAAGCTGACCCCAATACATATAAGAATCAAACACTGGCAATTGAGTATGATGTAATTAAAGTTCTTTAAAGCAGTAACAATTCCTCCTGCTCTTGAGAATTGGCCTTCTCAATCATTATTCCAGAAAGGTTTTCTTTCCCTTATTCTCCCTCTCACTATGAAGGACAAGGCTCCAAAGATTGGCCTGAATGAGATCATAACTCCTCCTCTTTGACTTCCTCCACCTTGTCATGGGTTCCATTCAGTTATTCAGGGCTGATGTGAGAACCCTTGCACTTCACTTGAAACAGGTTTAGTCAAGGATCTTCTCACAAAAAAGAAAGAAGTAAAATCCCACAGCCAAACCTGATGATTGAATTGAATTGATAAGGTGTGTCGATTCCTTTCAATAACAAAGGCCTTTATAAGCTCCAAATTATCAAGAGGTGTGACTGAAGTTACATAGGTAACTGACAACTTTGGAGACACTGCTGACGCCCCTGATGCAGTCTGGATACAGCAACCAAATAATCTTAAGGAATGGATGAACAGAAAAGTGTGATTCTGAGGTGGAGTGATGGTGACCAGGTTCATAAAGAGGAATTATGATACAATCATACTTTCTGCAGCCCCCTCCCCACCACACACCATGCAGCACTGAATGGCATAGTAATTTTTTTAGAGAATAACTTACAATTCTTATCCTTTGGAAAGATATTTCAACAAGAGTTTCTCTCTCCTGATAACTCATTGTTGACAATCTCAGACATCTCCAGAATTGGAAGGAAAGGCCTTTGACTCAACATGGTAATAAGTTAAGCAGAAATAACAAGCATCAATAATAACCTATGGCAAGCAGAGCACATAATGCATTCACAAGATCTGAGCTAACAAAGATGAGATACCGGCTACATGGCGACTGGATGAATCTCGGTTTTCAGTCAGAAAAATATTCTGCACTTGAAATCCAAAGCATATTAGAGCCAAAGCTAACAAAATACAACTTCAGAGAAAATACACAAAGTTACTACTGGCATTCGAAGAAAGTATGGGTAAGATGCTTGAAAACAGAATCAAAATGAATGCAATCATTTTCACCCAGGGACCTCTGAGGGAATAGCATCAACTCAATTAAATGTCCTCATATGGTGAGGTTCAATGGATTCAAGGTGACTGGATTTCCTGCACATCACCCCAAAAGTCCAGAAATCTTAATTTTAATTGAAGAAACAACTCTTTCCAAAAAATATCACTGAACATTGCTTTTCAGGCATAAGCTCACACTCTGACCAAAACAGACTCACTTTGAAAAACTATCAGTTAAACTGAGCAGATGAGGGCAAACCCTTCACTCATCAGAAAACCTGCATGCCAAGAGGTTATTCTCGTCTTTTGTTCTTTTGCACAATGCCTTGCATTTTATGGGACCTACCTTGATGATTACCAAGATCTCTCACCTCTCTGTTCTTATCTCAATCCTTAGATTCTTCATCATAATCTTCCCTTACCACACTGGTGTTTCATGAGTCTGTATGCACATGCACAAGCATGTATGTCTCAGCAAAGCTGCATCTCTTCTGAAAATTTACCTTTTAAAGGTGAGAGTACCGCACACGTTGTTGGTAAACCAAACATGAACTGCTGATGTTGTCTGTGTTATGAACATCAACATGGATGATACTCAAGTCCCAATCATATAAATGGCTGCTTCAGGTAGTGCATCAAAAGCAAAGCTACTTTTGCTAGAGCTGTCATTAAATGTTGGAACTGATGGTGCCGCTGCTGACCCAATTGGTGAGGTTGCTGATTTCACCTCTGTTCCAAAAAAATCATTTGACTGATGTCCGTTTGTGCACAGAAGAGCTAAAACAGCTCTCACTCTTTTTCTTCTTCCAACAACGAAGGCACAGTAAATGTGATTTGTGAGTCTACCACATGAGTAACTGCTGTAGCCAGTGCTCCAAATGCAGAAGTTGTTGATGCTGTTTTCTCTCCAATAGCAGGTTCTGCTGTAGTCATTGCTCCAGATTCCAGAGGTGTTAGTGTTGCAGATTGGTTTGTTGATTGTATTGTTGGAGCTATTGAAGTCACTGCAGCTTCAATTGGCAAGGCTGCTGATGCTGTTACAGTTGCAAACGTTGAAACTGATGACTGAGTTGTGATTGCTACTTCACCTGACTTGGAACTAGAGCCCCCAATTTCAAACAACATCTTTGAAGGTGTTGCTGTTATCACATCAGATGAAGGGGCAGTTGTTGTTGTTGTCACAGATCCAAACTGGAAGATTGAGGAAGTTGATGGGAAGGTGGCAGATGACATTGTGGTGGCTCCAGTGGGGGATTGAAAGGTGAAACCACTGAAGGCAGCAGGAACAATGCTCTCTGATGTGGTGCTTGCCACTCCAACTTTGAAGCTTTCAAAAGGAGCTGTAGATAGGGATCCCGAGGTTGAATTGAATGACGATGGATGTGAAGTGGTAACTGAAGAACCAGCAGTAGACTTGGGAAGAGAGTGACCTTGACCTATAGTAAATCCGCCACTGCTAGTAATTGAAGGCACCCCAAATGAGAATGTCAATGAAGTGGCAGCAGGAGCCATGGCTGATGCAGAAGCCAAACTCAGAGATGGTGCTGCTTTGGTCTTGGGCATGAATGTTCCAGCTTTCTGGAATATGGTAGAAGATGGGATACTTGAAAATGGAATGGGAGTAACAATGGTTGATTCAGTTTTTGATGGTGAGGATGCCACCATATTCATTCCTGCCAGAGAGGACACTTTAACAGAAGAAGTGGTCACAGTGTCAGATGCTGAAGATGTTGAAGCAGTTGCACTAAAAGATGGTCCAAAAAGAAGAGGAAAGGTTGCCTTCACTGTGGTAGTGGTCGAAGGAGCAATTTTCATAAATGCCAAGTGACTACTTGAAACTGTAGCCTGCCTAACAGCATTTGGAGTCATAGTTTCAGAAAACCTTGCTATGCTCAGATCCAGCAATGCATTTGTCCCAGTTGATTTTACACCTGCCTTAGTATTATATGCAACATC